GATCCTGGTTGCACACCGCGGTACAAATTACCTTAATACTCATCTATACGTAAGCAGGATTAATTGATATCACAAAGCACAATTTTTGCTCAAGAGTAATTTAAATATCAAGCTAGGTTGAAGCGCTAACCATATGAATAGAGCTAAATTTACGCGAAAAGATCGAAAAGACCAAACCTGCATTTCAATCTCGCTGAACTGCACAAGATTATTAGTCATGAGGTACAGCAAGAAGTGGAAGTTTGTGGCTTCTTCGAGGAATTGATTGAGAGAGTACTCGGCACAGTAGGCACTCAAATTAGCACCACCCTGAAGTTTTCAAGTAAGCTCATTCCCTAGAAGGTAAAAATATGAAATAAGAAGCGGGTTCGCGAGTAAGAAGCAAAAGAGATGCTCTGTGGGCGGGGCAAACAGTAAATGGGCGGCGCTTGCCACAAAATTAGGTAGCTAGTGCGGAAAACCAGTGTAGAAGGAAATGTTATAAGGTAAAAGCCGGCTTTGGTTGGGGATGAGAACAATTCGCAATGTATCGTGCACATTCTTGACTACGAACACACTGTTCGGTGCACAAGTCGGCTGAAGGGGCATCTCGAGCACTCTTTCTGTAAAGCAGCCGTAGTGGAGAAGAGGATTTTGGCCGAAGGCACAGAGCTCCAGGGTAGGTCCACCAACTTCTTTGTGCAAACAGCGCATTACGTTACCCGAAATTGCACAAGGAGTCCTTCAAATGCTCCCTCCCATCTAGCCCTCCCCCGTAGCCAACCTTTTTCCTTACTCGCTTCTCAGGCAGCATAGAAACAAGGAGAGAAAACGAGGACGGTAAAAGAGAGGGCACACCATCGTAGAAGGCGAAGCGCACATCAGGGAGGAAAAGGTCAGGAAAGTCGTTGAAAAAGTTAAAATTCGTTACAGGCTGATCTAAGAATGGAGCTGTTGCACAAAGTTCTGCGACCAAAAAGGAAGTAAGGCGGCCCTGAGAGCTCCACAGACTGCGCATTCAAAGGCCATTGATGGTAGAAGGTGCTTTACCTGTGTGGTACCCATGGAGTCCCTGTTTTCGATGTTGAAGCGAGCCACAGGTGGAGGTGGCGAGAACGTGTATTGTGGCTCTTTGGGCATTCCAGTCGGTACGTCAACCTATAAGAAAGCAGTTTTAATGTCTACGAAGCAATACCAAAGACCAAAGCGTTTCTAAAAACACCGAAAATATACCAGTATAAAAACTAATAAACCAAACCAGAAGAAATTCCACTGGCAACGGTCGAGCATCTTTGAGAACTTCTGCACCATATTGGTTTTTCTCCTGTAAACAAATTCTCAAAAATGTAATAATGTGAAATCCTTTTATACGACTATGACTCCAATCTTGTTCGAACATAAGCAGAACCTACAGTGAACTGAACATCCGTCAAGTACTGTGATTCTGTGAGTGGTTTCTCTCGTATGTATGCCAATTCAGGATGATTCGTTGGACAGAGAAGCTGGGCCTCAACCAAAGCAGTGCATTGGTTTGAAACCTGGAAGTCAATAAAATTGATAAATTCTATAGTAGCTGAGTATTGTGCAACCTACCTTGGTACCCATGGCGGAAACTATGCAAAGTTGATAGAAGTCTAAAACAGATGAAGTATAGTGCAGACCACTGTACCCATGGCAAGGTTCATCTTTGTTCAGTTCTCGTCACTCGCCAACGAACTGGTGAGAACTTAGAACCGAAATACCGTCGGAAAGCAATTATTCGGCGTGTGATCATTTGGATGTAACGACTGGAGATATCCTGCGGTTATGCACTCCTCAGCAGACAAGAAGAACGCATGCTGAACATCAAAATGACACTTAAAATGATGTGCAGAACCTAGCGCAGTGAACTTCATAACCGTGTTTTATAAATGGTGCCGATTGAGAAAGGCGACACCGAAGAATAGAAAACAAAACAGAAGATCGGGGCAGTGAGAAAGTACATAAGCCAATCTAAGATCCTCAACGCTACACTAGCGATGGGTATAAGCTAAATACAAAAGTGGAAGGGTTTCAGACGGCGGTGGAACTTTTTGTTGTGAAAAACCGCTGCGTTCTTATCAAGCACTTTCGTGCCGCCAAGATGGTACATCCTCTACGATTGCGGACCGAACTACCTTACGATGAATCAAAATACCACATTACGCATGGAAGGCGAATCTCAATTTCGGTGCCACATCTCATGATTCTGCCATCAATGTGAGTACGAGTGTGGGAACTCACAGGCGCACACTATCCACCAAAACTAACAGTTAAGAAGAAGAAAGAAAACGGGAAAAGGATTGCAAGAGATTTTCTCATGAGCTCTACAGTAGCCGTGTGATCGGTTATCTTGTCCCTGCGAAACTGTACAGTCACCTCTCATGACGGTCCTTGCTATGTGCGAGATGTATGAGTAAACATCCTCTGCTCAAAAGTGCACAAGGCAAACAGGGTACGGGCGTACAGGAACAGCTGCTATACGTTGGTGATACCCATGAGCAGTCTCCCGACCCCACCTTCAACACAAGTAGCGCATTTGGCTATGTTTAGGCCTGTGGCTAGGCGGTGTGGCGGTGTATGAAGACGGCGCTCAGGCATCGACATACTGTGGCACTCATTAATTGTGACACTTTGACGGAGAAAATGGTGCATGCTGCTACGGATCCCACTTCACCGTGGATTATGGCAAGGACCGGATTCACGCCTGAGGTCAAGTCACAGTTTTGTAAGTAAGCTATCTGAAGACGTCTTCAAGTGAGCTACTGAATGAAAAAGGGAGCAGTGAATTTATGGGAAGCTGTTCCATTATAAAAGCGCTCAATGCGGCAATAGCAGCAACCATCAGCTTTCGTGGAAAATAGAATACCAGCTGCTATCAGAAGCGAAGCTTATTATTCATCAAAATGCAGTTAAAGAGCGGCACAGTTCACAAAACGAGTAGCTAGCAGTTGAGAAGAAAAAGAAAAAAAGATACGAAAAAACGAAAGCAAAAAGGTTGGCTTCCCATGCAAGTATAAGGAATCGAAACCTGGATTTTCCTTGCAGAAATTTAGTGCAAAAAGGTTTTTTCCTCATGTAGCGTTTACCTTATGCCGAGTGCAGTGGACTGTTCCTTTTACTCGATCAGCAGACCAGAGATCCGTGAAAGATCCATCCGACACGCTTTAATCCAAGCCAGTTACAGAGTTGATCAACAGCCTGACGTGGAAATACTTAATATAAAGAGAACTGGAAGAATGCCTGGTTACCTCTTCGTTGGGATCGTCAAGCAATTGTACCCCATCAGGTGAACAATTCTGAGGTGGTTCATAAATGGCTGCAACTACAGCTTTTATACCGAGAGGGACATCCGAGAATGGTTGATATCTAAAGGGACATATTTGTGAGCTCGATTAAGTACAAGAGAAACAAACAGTCACGAATGTACCTACTTTCCAATAAGATAACCGACCCGCTGATTACCAGTTGTACGCCAAAAATTCAAAAAATCATTTACAATGTCTTGATTCTCGAAAAAGATGTTGTCGACATGACGATACTTCTGGAAATAAAATGTCAGAATGTTGCTTACAAGGAATCTTGACAACCAAATAGTGCATTACTGAACAGTTACTCGTAAAACAAAGCAGTGCGCCCTTGACAAGTCGCAAAGCGATTTTTGCACAAGAAATGTTTCCTGATTTCCACCAAGCCTGTCCGCAGGCCGGATTCGGCTCAAAGTTATATACCGTTGCAGTTGTAGTTCGCGGATAAGGGAACCCGCATTCCGATAAAAAAGCCGAACTTCATAAGAACTACCGCGGTAGCTACAACAAATTGTGCTTTACCTACCTGCCGATTCAATGTCATCACAGGTGGTTTACATTTCGTACATACTCCCTTCGGATATGGTTTGTGAGCAGGACAATTCAAATCAATAGTACATCTGAAGAGAAAAGGTCTGGAAACGAACCGTATATTCTCCAACGGACGTTTCAACTGAGAGCCTTTGCCATGACCCGATGTGAGTTTACGTACATGTGCATGGAAGGACATATGTTTGATATCTTTCGACTTCAAGTAGTCTTCGTCATACGGCTGAAAAGTCGCAGTGTAAAAACTAAAGTAAGAAAGGAAGTAAAGAAAACCTGAAAAGTAACATCTTAAGCAAGAAGAAGGAACGTATACAGCTGCCCTGAAAACACGACTCATTAACGAATTTATAAGCCTTAAATTTAGCCAGAAAAGATGGTCGAAAATAAATTAGATGCGGGAAAAAGTAAGCTTGTACGTCAGACCATTTCCATAGACCGCCATGCTTTCTTAGTCATTATCGCGAAGGCCTAAGCATTTCGAAGAGGCCGTCTGCAGCAAAGAGAAGATGCTGCAATATAAAAGCGAAGGTGCTGGGAATTCCTATCGTTATTTAGAGTATTATGGTATTTACCGTTGACAGCTATATCATACTGCAAAAGCAAGCTGGTCATATCAATCAGGAACCTTCTTCACTCAAAATGACGTTCGTCCGTACATTTCCTGTACTGATGAAGCTAGTGGAATAGGACTGCTTACGACGCTCTATGCACTCCATGATCATAGCTTCAACCTTCTTATCCGATTCACTTTTGCTAGCGGTTCTGGCGACTACCTGAACTCGCCTTTGAATAGAGTCCGACTTTTTGCTCTCGGACCTACACCTGCTGCTTAAATAACCTCCAATGGCTAGTAGACATTCGGTAACTCGTGGACGGTGAGGAAGCGGCTGGTACTTCTATCAAATATGGAGGCATCTGCGCTTCTGCTTCTGTGCTCAGGTATATTTCCGGGGATAGTTTAATCATATCTTTGCCCAGCACAAGACATGATCTTAGTTGTCTCAAAACAAAAACAACCTGAAGGAACACATACTACGCCAAGTTCAAACGGTGTACGCGGACACGCCCTAACTACTCACGAGATATAGAGCGTAACTCTGCGAGTTCTAATTTTCGTGCACGAGTGGTGACTCATTTTGCACGGACTAGTCGTTTAGCGGTATAGGAAAATATAAGAAAACTCGTAGCCTACTGCGGCACTTCATCCCTCTGCACACCATAGGCCCCGCCAAAAACAATGCAGCGTTGATGTACTCCAGTGTGGCTTAACAAAACAAACAGCCGTTCGCACCGAACACCCTCTAGGCTGCTTATACAAATGCACCCCCGCGACCGAAAATGGTGTGATGGCGCTCGAGTACACAGCTATGGGGAAAACAACTCTGTAAAGCACTGTTCACAGCTTGCAACCGAGTGGAATAGGCGAAAGAAGCGCATCCGCGAAAAGATTTTGATAGCTATCTTGTTGCATCGGGAGAATGGGTGAACAGAGCGGAGCGAACGGGCCGGTCTTTAGCCGAAAAGGTGAATATGACGTGTTATACGACCTGAGGAACCAGCGGAGCGAGCGCTTCGAAATCTTCCTATTCTTCAACTGGTGGAGTTGGTTAGGAATCTCAACCTCTCAGCGGTGGCGCCGGATTCGCCGACGTCCCTTCGATTCGTCAGGGTCGCAAGCTGCGAATAGTGTACCTAATGAACATAAAGGTGAAGGAAAAATCGTCCGAAACGTCCTCAAAAGGGCACCATTCAAATAAAATTGCAAGGACATATGGTTAAGAGAAGACGTGCTTTGATGAGCCTTCACTTGGCATCATAACGATATCAGCTTCTTCCCCTTATCACCTCACTCATACCATTCGAAATGGAAACAGCTAGTAGCGGACACCCACATCATCAGATAGACCATAAAAATGAACGTAGGGCGTAATATGGGGCAGTGGGCGGCGGAACACTGCCTTCTGCCGTAAGCGTGTGCGCCCTTCTGATGTTTTTTTTAGCTGCGACTGGACCACCATGTCCAAAGAAAGGTGTGCACACAGGCAGGTGAACTTGTCAAGACCGCACAGTGAAGGCACGAATGTACGAGGATAGAAATGGATAATGATTACAACCGGATAAAATCATTTTTAAATACACCAGTTGCTGGGTAGGTTGAAGTACGAAATCAGACGTGCAACCATTCAGATCTCTTCGCTCAATATGACCAGGATCCGGGTCAAAGTAACGCCAGAACAACACACGCAGCAATCCCGAAATTATCAAATTCATCTAACCACATGCACAAATGTTCAAAATCTGTCTGTGATGGTTGCTGATTTATGACAGTAAACTTTTGGGAGTCCATCCATACAGGGCCGAATGATAGGAAAAATTTGAAAAAAACCTCACATCTATTGGAAGGCAGTGGGCGCATTTCTGTCGTGCATTGTGGTGGCACATTTTTGGATCTCGAGTTCGCTTGATCTGTCCTTCTTCGGCAGCAAGAATGAGATCCACTTCATCTAGTTTCTCCTTCTCTTTTGCCTCCAAAACCATACTCTAAAAGTTAGAGCTTGAGGCTAAGCAATACACAGTTTGTAGGAAGATTTTAGGAGTAAATCCAGATACCATACACATAGCAGCAAAGGGCTAACAACCATCAAACAACTGTCTGGAATGACTTTTTTTAATCATTTATCATCCTTTCATGCAATTGTCGTGAACGCGTGAGTATGGTACGTAACTTCGACCAGGGCAATATATCTGTCGTCGTATTGCTAAATTTGGATGTGTACCGGCCTTGATGTCAGTTTGGAATCATCTTGTGTGCGGTAGTCGAATGATTCACAAAGTGTCTCGTCACGGAGGCCTGATATGGTCACCTTGACTTTTTCTGTCATTATGAAAGCGCTTAAAGGAACTCATTCGTATGTCAAACTTGTATAGTAATTCAACGTCGCTTCAATTGCGGAGCAAGTTTATCACGTTGCAAAGTGCCAGATGAGAAGTTGGGATGGAGTGTACCATTCCCGGAATACAACCCGCCAGACTACACTGACCCAAAGGTGGTAGGCAGAAGTTGGTCTGATCCTGAGATACAAGCAGGCAACTTCAGGTGGAATGCGGTTGACGGGAAAGTCAATAGGAAGTCATACATGGGGTAAGAGAGCTTTTGAATTTTCTTTCAGCCAGTGAAAAAGATTATCCTCAAAAAAGACACGGGATCTTCAGTTGCATTAACTCTTTTGATTTCATACGATCAAGGCAATCAACCAATCGGGTCGCGACAGGGACTTCGCGGCGAGGCGTAGCTTGGAAGGTACATTTTATTTTTTTCTGATGGTGGCGCTAGTCCATTTTAATAACAGATTCCGGTAGAGAGTACCCACTCATAGAGGCAACTTCTTGTATAATTACTACATTAGTCTGAAATTGTCTCTGGTTGAGCCTACGGGGAGTACAAAAGATTAGGTGGCCAAACTGCTTTACACAGACTCCCGAGTCCATTTCCCGCTTAGGCTTCAAGCAAAATTTAACCCATAACAGGGTACAGCATCGTTGTGCGAAACCCATAGGGGGGTCGTACTTGGCCGCTGGGGAGGGGGGGGTCGTAATCTCAAGGGTCACTCAGAGCCGGCAATGCTTCGACATTTCAGTTGATAGTGGGAGTGGAGCTATGGAAGTTAAGAGATGTTAAAAAATGAAAATTATTATGAGTGTATTCTTTACAGATTGAACTGCTACGTTTAACAGCCCTCTTTTCATGCAAAATCCCCAAAATGGGTTCGTACTTGGCCGGCCTAGGGCGGACACAATAACGATTATTCAGTAGGGCGCAAGTGGCTCACAAAAGAATTTAGGCGTGAGGTTCAGTGCATTGCAGTAGTCGACCACGGACTCGCACCATATTCGACGCGCGTTACCTGAAAAAAGCGGTCGCAGCCGATTTGCCGACATATGCCTTGCGTTGCTGTAACAGAAGCGTGAACTATTTCAGGTATAATGCACTGCAGGAAGTCGAACTAAACTATTGTTGGAGAAAAAAAAGCAGACCTTTTTCGTCAAAAAATTGTTATTGAGCTGAGAGGAAGAATGACAGTTTTCGTTCTGCTCCGAAACTAAGTTTCCATTTTTTTCCTATGCTATAGTCTAATCCTATTCCACTGGTAATCAGAACACCAGGTAACCAGAAGTTCGAATGCGCGAAATTGAAATCAGACTCAACTACTGTTGCTGGAAACGCGAAAACCATTAAATGGCACTATTCAACTATTACTACCCCAAAAAGTCCATAGAGATAGTTCGGTGTCCCAATCACGAATATAGCACTCGTTTTGGGCGCTGGCGTTGAATTGGCGCCAGTTTGGCGCCGCCACCTTCCAGCAAATTGTAAATTTGCATGGTATGGTGTTTTGATGTCCTGATCACGACTACCGAATTAGTTTTCCTCCCTGACGCCATTGGCGCTGACTTGGACCCACACTCTTTTTTATCAAAATTGATAAAAACGTGCACAATGGGATTGTTTGATGCCCTGATCACGATATGATATTCACTCCAGCACCATTTAATCCTTTTCTAAGGCTGAGCCCTGTGAGAAAGTGTTTTTCCTTTAGTCGCCGCGCAATACCAGATCGCAGATAATCACAGCGTCTTCTATCAGCGCCAGCGCCAAAAATGAATGTCATATATGCAAAAGATGTTAAATGGTCTAAGTTTCACGCGACTTATAACTAGTTACTTCAGCGCCCAGCGACCCAAGGATACCCTAGTCAGGCCAAGTGGGTGCGATGTTCAAGTTCAGGAGGTCAATTACCTCTAGAACCCAACTTTCATCCAAATCTGCCCACGTAGAGAATAACCTGATTAAGATCCGGCCTGTTCTTGGAAAACTGGGTTTGTTTTCCAGGTAGAGCGCGTCAAATATGGTGTGAGTCCGCAGCCGACTATCGCAATGCATTCAACCTCACGCCTAAATTCTTTTGTGAGCCACTTGCGCCCTACTGAAAATCGTTATTGTCGGGGGACATGGGGAGTATCGCAAAAGTAGGCTCGCTAGGCATCAAACAGTACAAAAGTGTCATTGCTAAGTTTGATGGAAGGAACGGAAAGCTGCAGAAGACCCGGATGTAAATAGGACTACAAATTAATAAAATAAAAAAGCTTCATTAGCCAATATAGCAAGCAATATTGTGAATA